AGTATTAAAACTCATAACTGGTATCCCTAAGATTTGTGCATTTCACTTTATCTAAAATTCACACACAACCCCCGTGGCCAGTTTGGCTCAGTGGTTAAAGCGTTAGCCCATAGACCAATGAGTCACGGGTTCGATTCCAGTCAAGGGTACGTATCTCTGAATCTCGGTTGCAGTTCATCCACAGCCCTGGTTGGGGTGGTGCGGGAGGCAACTGGTCATGTGTCCCTCTCACATAGATGTTTCTCTCTCTCTCTCTCTCTCCCCCTCCCACTCTATCTGAAGATAAAGAGGGAAATATCCTCAGGTGAAGATTAAAAATAAATAAATAAATAAAATTAATCCCCCCCCCAAAAAAACAAAGAGAATAAACAAATTTTAATTAATAATATATAAGCCAAAGTACTTGGAGGAAAGTAAACCAAAGTCTATAACTTTTTTTGAAATGTATCTAAAAATGATAAACTGATAGATGGAGGGATAGGCAGATAAATGTGATAAAAGTGATATGCTAATTTTAGGATCTAGATGGTAATGACACGAGTATTCACTATAAAACTTTCAATTTCCCTCTATATTCGAAATTTCTCATAAAATTATGAAACTGTCATAATACAGACAATGAAAATATCTCTTCTATCACTCTTTTATACATATTCATCCTTAGACCACAAAGGGGAAGTTTTATCCAAGAACTAATAGAGCTTCATTATTATCACAGAAGTGTAAGAGAACTGTGAGCTATGTCATTCGAGAAGGCTAAACAGACAGGGGAGCAGGGAACAGACTAGTGAACCTCAGAGCAAAGGTGGAGCAGGAAGAGATAAACCAAAGAACTTATATGCATAACCAACAGACATGAACAATAATATGGTGAAGGCAGTGGGAGGGGACCGATGGGGGACATCTGTAATACTTTCAACAATAAATATATAAATAAAATAGCCCGGGCAGTGTGGCTCACTGGTTGAGCATCAACCCATGCACCAAGAGGTAGCAGGTCGCTGGTTTGATTCCTGGACAGGGCAGATGCCCAGGTTCTGGGCCCAATCCCCAGTGGAGGGCTTGCAGGAGGCAGCCAATTGATGTTCTCTCTCATCCATGTTTCTATCTCTCTCTCCCTCTCCCTTCCTCTCTCTATAAAAATCAATTTAAAAAATTGAAGATAAAAAAAAAAATTAAAAAGAGGGCTAAACAATTTAAAGTCAAACAGTCAAACTTCCATTAATATAACTGCTGTCTACAAGAGACCACATTCTAATACTGGATTCTGAGGGCAAGCCTAATTCTATTTTAGGCTGATTTAAATAATGATGAGAACCCTGGGCAGTGTGGCTCAGTTGGTTGAGCGCCGTCCTGTGCACCAGTCACCAGTTTTCCTTTTCTTTTTTTTTTTATCTTCACCCGAGGACATTCTTCCATTTTCTGTTCAGACAGAGTGGGAAGGAGAGAGAGGAAGAAAGAGAGAGAGAGAAACATCGATGTGGAAGAGACACATCGAGTGGCTGCCTACCATATGACCCAACCAGGGCCGGGGACAAACTGCAACCAAGGCACATGCCCGTAGCGAGAACTGAACCCGGGTCTCTCTGGACTGTAGGCCGACACTCTAACCACTGAGCAAAACTGGCCAGGGCAAGAGTCACCAATTTAATTCCTGGTCAGGACACATACTCAGGTTGTGGGTTTGGTCCCTGCCTGGTTTGCATGCATGAGGCAATGGATCAATGTTTCTCTCTCTCCCTGTCCCTCCTTTCCACTCTGTCTAAAAATCAATGGAAAAAATATCCTTGGTTGAGGATCAACAACAAAAAATGCTCAATATAAACATTAGGGAAATGCAAATCAAAACCACAATGAGATATAACTTCTCACGCCTAAGGATGGCTTCTGTAAAAAAAAAAGAAAACAGAAAATACCAAGAGTTAGCAAGAATGTGGAGATATTGCAACAATGCTGATGGGAATGTAAAAACAGTGCAACCATTATAAAAAAAATCAGTATAGTGGTTCCTCAAAAACTAAACAGAATTACAATATGGTCCAGCATATGGGTGTATATCCAGATGAATTTAAAGGAAGGTCTTGTGTTATTCACAATACACAAAAGGTCCATCAACAGATAACTGATACACAAATTCTAATACATGCTACAACATGGATGAACGTTGAGGACATTATTCTAAGTGAAATAAGCCACTCACAAAAAGACAAATTTTGTATCACTCTACATAAATGAGGTTATCTAGAGTAGTCAAATTCAAAGAAATAGAAATAGAAAGTGGTTGCCAGGACCTGAGAGGTGGGAGAAGGGGAAGGAGGGAGTTTAATGGGTATAGAGTTCAGTTTTGCAAGATGAAAAGAGTTTTGGAGAATATACTTAACACTACTGAACTGTACCTTTAAAAATCAATATGGTAAATTTTATGTGTATTTTACCACAAGACAAAATAAAATAAATGGCAAAGTCAAACTGAGGACTAATTCTAAATTCCATACTCTTTTTACTATGACCTTATTGTTTAACTACATTCATTCAGCAAATACATGAGTGCCTGCTTATGTGTCAGGCACAAGTACCAGAGATACATCAGTTAATACAGTAGACACAGGTCTTCATGTAGCTTAAGTTCAAGCCACTATAACTGCTCATCTCATAAGGACACCTGAATCACCCTACAAAGGAAATTTGCCAACCATTCCATATTGCTTTAATGTCAGTGTGTTCCTCTCAAAAACTATTAGAAGAATTATGCAGAGAGCTGAAGAGCCTCCTTCATTTTTCATGGTCTCAGAGGCAGCCTCAAAGAACAATCTTAGTTTACTTCCTATGAGTGGAATCCACTATCTTTCCTGGTAATTCCACTGCAAGCCTGAAATTAATTAATCTCCATGTTCCAATATCCACTAATAATTGGATAATCTCCAATATCCACTAATCTAAACTTATTTTTCTTTATTCATTATATACCTACTATCATCTTAAATTGCTGATTTTTAAAAAGGTAAAACTAGTAACAGAATATGGAAAGCCTCCATATTTTAACTCAGGATTTTGACATTATTATTTAACCTAGTTGAGTAAGATTATTATTCATCTACATTATTTATTAAACCTCTGATTCAAATCCAAACAAGGCAAATAATACTTTTCAAATAATACCTTTGTTTCAACTACACAGGCTTCCTCTCCATCCCCCAAATTTAGAGACCCTCTCTCCAGGAGGTTGCTTAAATTTCCTTATCTGTGACTCAAACACCATTTTACTCTTGTAAAACCATACTTCAGAAAGATCTACCAGTGTATAATCTAAGCCTCCTCCCCACACCTCCTCCAAAACAAAGAATAAACTCCTATTTAAAAGAAAACTTTAAAGGAAAAGAGACTTCAAAGACATCTATTTTGTTACGTTACTATTAAGCATCTTTTTCTTCAAGAATTAAGCTGTTCTGAAACTTAAATGATCCTATTAACCAATGTCACCCCAATAAATTAAAAAAAAAAAAAAAAGAATTAAGTTGTCATTTTCTAAAAAATGTCAGCTTGACATTCACAAAGGCATCTTTCAAATTATAGTTAGCAGCCTACAAGATTTAACCTTTTTTTAACAGTTACGTTTTTTATATTCTGCAGCTTCTCTAATTTCACAATTAGAGCTGAGGGTTTATATACAGATGACAAAAGTACCTTTGATGAAGCATTCCAAAAACTAACTGGAATGGAAATCCTAGAGGACAGCCATCTCACTGAGCAGACACAATAGCTCAAAAGTGAAAAGAACAATTATGCTAATGGGCTCTTCCACATAGATGACCTGCCTCACTGAAGCATTCTTATGAATGTTAAAACATCATACTGATTGCATACACTTCAAGCCTCAATCAGACATTAAGGATTAAACTATAAAAATGTCCTACAAATAGTAATAACCAGAGTTGTCATCACTCCTAGGAAACCACTCAGGAGCAAGATCTTTCAAACTGTGGAAAGCAGAAAAAGGATGAATGATCAGTTTGCCTTAAAAAAAAAAAAGAGTACCAAAAACCTTTCTTTTTTTAAAAATCCTCACTCAAGGATATTTTTCCATTTATCTTCAGATAGTGTGGGAGGGAGAAGGAAAGAGAGAGAGAGAGAGAGAAACACTGACCAAGGCCAGGAACCAAACCGCAACTGAGGTCCATGCCCTTGACTAGAATCAAACCCAAGACTCTTTGGTCCTCGGGCCGAAACTCTAACTACTGAGCCAAAACGGGTAAGTTTTATTCCAGTTGCAGATGCATTCTTCTTACATTTAAAATTTTATCCACAATTACCACTTATGACTATCTTTACACAACATAAAAATTAATATTTTATTTTAATAGCCATACTTTTTCATTAAATAAATATTCAGTACCTAAGTAGGGGAAAAAGAGGACCACAAACCAAGATTCACCAGAAAAATACTCGTTTTCCCTTTAAAATGATTTACCTGATTTGAAATTAAACTTTACAATAAGGGCAATAAAGGCTTACTTTTTTTTTATCCTCACCCGAGGACATTTTTCCATTTTTTGTTCAGACAGAGTGGGAGGGAGGGAGGGAGAGAGGAAGAGAGAAACATCGATGTGAGAAGGACACATCGACTGGTTGTCTCCTGCAGGACCCCAACCAGGGCCGGGGACGAACTGCAAGAGAGGTACATGCCCTTGTCCAGAATTGAACCTGCACCTCATTAGTCCGCAAGCCAATGCTCTAACCACTGAGCAAACCAGCCAGGACCTAACATTTTTATTTTTATATTCCACTGAACTGTTTCAACAGCAGAACTTTTCCCTTATATGGTATACTTTTCAACTTCTACTAAGGAAAAATAATTTTGAAGTTTTCTGCCATTTTTCTAAAATTATCAAAATTTCCTGGTACTCTGGTAAATTTGTTCTAAACAAAAGAATGTTAAATAGGTGCAAATTTTCATGTACATCAACTTTTACCTACTAAAATGCAATTCCTTATAGATTTACCTTCATCATACATTTCTTCTATTAAGTAGGCCTCTGCTCGATCCTTGAGAGCATTCACATTGTCAGGTTCCATCTGTAAAACTTCAGAACACACTCGAATAGCTTCAACAGGCTTCTCATCCTAAAAGAAATGTGAGAAAATGATTTATGGTTCCTACTCCATATGTTAAGTTTTTACATTTCTGGGAATGGGTTAACTGTTACCTTAGACAAGCAGTGGCAAATCCTTTCTTTTGAACGAATTGTATATTCGGAAACACTAGGCTCCGTTTTCATAACAGATTCATATTTGCTGGTCGCATCTGTGTATCTAGTAAGTGAGAAAATCAGGATGAGTAACAGATTATATTTCCAGATCTAGAGAGAAGACCCTCTATATGTCGCTTAATCAGTTTACCTGAATGATCACATGCCTCCACACACTGCTTTTACCTTACCAATCTACAGTAGCAAGGAATGTACTGCCTACAGTTCGGAGTTAGGAGATAAAACATGGCCACAGAAAATGATCCCTAAGAGTGTACTTATGAGTACCAATCAAACCACCTGATGAATTTCATCACAGAAAAATGTTCGTGATTTTGAAACTGAGTAAAACACCTTGTTAAAGTCTGACTTATGTGGAGCACGTTTAGCAAAGCAGAGATAAGGTTTTATTTTTTGGTCACTCTAATTTTCATGAAATCATGGAACCCATTACATATATGCTATTTATTTTATATCATGTTAATATTCACAACTAAGTACAATGTACTTCCCTGCAGAAGGAACCTGTTTAAATTCCTAGCTTTACTAGCTTTCTAAGAACAATAAAAGCTATTTCAGCATTTTTAAAACTGTTGAAAAGTACTAGTCATGTTATGCACACTAAGTTACTTTCCTCCGTAATGACAAACTAAAGATATATAATGTGGCACATTATTCCCAAAGTGTTGCAATCCTCACTTTTAAATGCTGATGTATTAAAACACAGCTTTAAATATGACATTTAAAACCAAAGCTAGCACCCTGGACAGTTTGGCTCAGCAGTTAGAGCACTGGCCCACAGACCAGAGAGACCTGGGTTTGGTTCCCGCTAAGGGCATGTACCTCAGTTGCAGTTTGGCCCCAGTTGGGGTCAAGTGGGTGGCAACCAGTTGGTGTCTCTCTCTCACATCGATGTTTCTCTCTTTCTCTTCCTCCCTCTCTCCCTCCCACTCTATCTGAAGATGAATGCAAAAATGTCCTCAGGTGAGGATAAAAAAAAAAAAACAGAAACAAAAATAAATAAAATGAAAGCAAGCAATCTATGTCAAAATCCTAGTTGGGATATTGTTCTAAAGTTTTCATGATGGTAAAACAACTGTAGGGAAACTGCACAGAGTATATGAGACCTTGCTTTACTTCTTACAACTACATGTGAAACTACATTTGGTATATTAGCTCGAAATAAAAAGTTCAATTAGAAAATACTGGACTGCGCCCAGCTGGTGTGGCTCAGTGGTTGAGCGTCGACCCATGCGCCAAGAGGTCACCGGTTTGATTCTCAGTCAGGGCACATGCCCAGGTTGTGGGCCAAAGCCCCAGTGTGGGAGGCGGCCAATCAATGTTCTCTCTCATTGATGTTTCTGTCTCTCCCCCCCCCTTCTCCCTTCCTCTCTCTCTAAAATCAATAAAGGAAAAAAAAAGAAAATACTGCACTTCCCTTAAAAAAAAAAAAACCTAGCTGCTGGTTTGGGGAACACACTTTAAGAACCACTGCTCTACACTATACTCTTCTACACCCAGAACATGTCCTCCAGGAGTTACTTCTGTACTATGGGACATATAAAAAAAACCGAGTAAGTTAAATGACACTCTGTGGAAACAATCATTCAAATTCTACGTTGTTATAACTGGCTTGGTCTCATCAAAAAGTCATGGAAACAACTTGGGAATCTATTCTAAATTAAAAGAGATTAAAGAGTCGTAACAGCCAAATGTAATTATAAATCTTGCCCGGATTCTGGTTTGAAAAAGCAGTTAGAGAAATCATCTTGGAACTGGGAAAATTTGAATATGGACTACATATTCAATAATATAAATGTTACTTTTCTTAGGTGTGGTAATGGCATTGTGGCTATATAGCAGAAGGCCTTTTAAATTTAGAGGCCAAATTATTTAAGAGTGAACTGTCACAACATCTGCTACTAAAGTATTTGAATAGTTCATCAATACTTTTATATTTTCTGGTTTACAAAAGTCAAAGTCTCAATGGAGGGTGGTGAATATGGCAAATATAGTATTATTATTGAATATGCATGGGCATATATAGGTTTAATATTCTTTCAACTTTTTCTATATTAGAAAAATTTCACAATAAATAGTTAAGAAAAAAATAGCTAGCTTCTGAGAAGGTGGAATAAATGTATTTTACCTAATATCTCCAGCTAGGTGCAAATAAACACCCTACACATTAAATATTTTTTAATGTAATAAAAGACTCTGAAAGGGAAAGAAGGTAGACAAGCGAGGGACCTCTGGACCTGAGGGAAAACATAGTGTGGTAAGTGCCCTGGGTTTCTTTTATGCTTCATACACCCAAGACATGGAGCTGAGGAAACCAGCAACCCAGAAATGCCAATGGGTACAGACACACACGCACATAAAACAAAACAAACAAAAACGAAAGCCTGCTGCCCCAAGCCAGAAGACCCAGAGAGAGCAGCTTAGCAAGACAACACTTTTGATAATAATGGCTCTACTCCAGCCAAATACCAGAGAAAATTATGGGCCCACCTCTACGAATGCCAGCAGGTCATGTGGAGAGCCCAGACTTCTTCCATGGCTAGGCTGTAATGCACTGTGCCCACACCCATACCAATGTGGTGTCAGAGGCGGCCAGGTGGGGAGCCAGGAGTTTCATCCATGGCTGAAAATTAGTCCCCTAAACTCTCACCTGCACCAAGTAGTAGCAAGAAGCCCCCACACCTCGAGTATCAATGAAGGCTGAGTAGGAAAACTCTACCTCCACATGCCCACCCCCACTTTAATGGAACAATGTCAGAAAAACCCAGCTAAAATGAAAGATTTAAATTTGAAAAGTCTTATAAATGAAAATGTCCAGATTTCTATTAAAAAACACTCATTATACCAAGACACCGATCTCAAACTGAAAAATAAATTCCAACACCAAGAGGACAGACATGTTAGAATTTATCTGATAAAAATCTTAAAGCAGCCATGAAAAAAAGCAACAGCAACAAACATGCTTAAAGTAAATGAACAAACACAATGCTTCAACAAAGTAATAGAAAGTCTCAGCAAAGAAATAGAAGATATAACAACAACAACAACAACAACAAACAAACGGAATTTTTAGAACTGAAAAACAGAGAAACTGAAATAAAAGGTTCATTGAATGTGCTCAATAGCTGATTGATGGAAACAGGAAAAGAATCAGTGAATTAGAACAATAGAAACGTCCTAATCTTAACAAAGAAAATACATTGAAAAAATTTAACAGAGCCCAGGAACCTGTGAGGCTATAACAAGTTATTAACCTTTATGTCAATCAGAGTCTAAGAAGCAAAGTACAGAGAGGAAAGGGCTGAAAAAGTACTCCAAAAAATATTAGCTGGAAAATTCCCAAATTTAAGATATAAAACTATATATTCTAAAAACCAAATAAACTCCAAAAGTGATAAACATAAGGAAATGCACATCAAGACACATCATAATTAAACATATGAATACTAAAAACAAGAAAAAAAATCTTGTAAGCAGTTAGAAGAAAATAATACCTTATTTTTGGGAGGAAAAACCAACTAAAATGACTATGGATTTCTCACCAGGAATCATGGAGGCCAGAAAAGAAATAGTACAATATTTTTCAGGTACTATAACAAAAGAACTGTTAACCCAGAATCATATACCACGGGAAACAAAATCTCTGTATCCTCTGTTTACATCTCTATCACTCTAGAGACCACATTACCTTTTTAATAATTTATATGTCTGCCTCCCTCACTATACTTATGAGCTTCTTAACACCAAAAACTAGTCATATGCATTTCTGCAACCCCGGGACATAGTCTGTGCTTGATACAGAAGATACTCAATAAATATTTAGTGAAATATAAATAAATCTGTAATAATACTATGTAGATACTATAATTTATATTCTGCCTTATTTAAATGTTGCAGTGGTTTTGTTAAGGCCCAGTGCTATCTAAGATACTTCAGCTTCAATTGCAAAGGAGTAGAAAAGCAAGCAGTTCAATTGTTCTTTTGTGCCTGCAAAGGACATGAGGGAATGCTAGAGTCTACACAAGCATATGCTCATGCTCACCTGCCATCTCTGATGAGCTCTTCAGCTGACTCGATCAGCTTATTGAGTTTCTTTACATGTTTATAGTGTGCAAAACACCTTTTATGATCCTGGTCAAGTTTAAGACATTCACGAACTTCACTGCTCATGTATTTCAAAAGAGAAAAATATTCCAAGTCAAAATAATCAATGAGTAGTTTTCCATACTAAATACAGAAAGCACAATAAAAGGTTATTTTTTTGTTTGTAACAATTAAAACACACTGGCTTAATTATTTCCCATTTATTTTTATATATGGTATTGGACCAAGCACACACTTATACATTAAATACTCCACTTTGCTTCTACAAATATAACATCCCTATTTATTTTAATAAGCACAATTCATGAAAATAAATTATGTGGTAGAATAACTTAAAATGTATAAATAGATAATAGAATATAAAGACAACCTTAACTACAATTTTATTCATTTAAAATTGAAAAGGAAATGGGATTATTATCTTGCTGCCAACAATAAAAAGATGATGAGATGTGTATGTCACTAGAACTGACCTGAGGGACAGTTCATGGTCTCCTAGTTGAAAATATAGTGTGCTGATTTTATAAAAAGCCTCGGTATTGTCATTCTTCAATTTTGATGCAGCTTTTAAGTCACTTATCGCTTTCCTAGGTTCCCCTTCTTTTATATAACACTCAGCTCGAAGTTCCCGTAGTTCAGCATCCCAAACACAAACCTTGAGAAACAAAAGAACTAGACTTTAAGAAAGATAAGAAATTATATTTTCATCCCACATATTTTATCTACATATTTATCAACATAAAATATCCTCAATTAATGTGATAAGTTCTATATGGTAAATAGTATCTAAAAGTCTGATACAATAGATGTGACAAAAATAATTAGATATAATAAAATTTCTCCAAGGATACTGTAAATAAATTCTAATGGGGGAAAGGAGATATATACAAATAAGGCCTTTTTCCTTCCTCCTTCAATGATATAATTGTAAAACTTTGAAAATACAAATACATGGCATTTACTATTAAAAGGTTGTTCCCAGTGAAGCTTATTTGATTTTGAAGAGAATATTCTATAATCAAATTTTTGTACTTAATCAACAATTCTAATTTCTAGTATCAAAAAATAAAATGTAGGTTCTAAATTTTCAAAATATTTTTACTCTACCAATAACTAAGTAAAATTCTCTTTTGTAAAATGTCATCTTGAAATTAAATCTTCTATCACAAAAAGAATGAAAAGAGAAAACAATGTGAGAAGGTTAAGGCTTCATCATTTCCATTTTATTCAGAAGTTTACAACATTTAGTGAATGCACTGGTATTCTTCAAAATGCAAACCCAAAAGCTCACCAATAAGGCCTGTGGAAATATCTATACTCATTTCTTAAGAGTTGTTCTAAAGTCATGACAACTTCTCACATATATTAAGATATCAAAATCAATACTGGACATATATTAAATATGAAAAATAAACTAGGTCAAAATGGATAGTTTCAATACTGGAAGATAAAAATTATAACTGTGGGGGAATTATAACTGTTATTTTTCCTTAATAAAGCATTTATAAAATCATTTACTAAACTGTGAATTCCAATAGAGCACATCAAAATTTCCTCTATCAAGTTATCAAAGTGCCCATTCCACATAAAAGTTTACTGCCAAGATTAAATGAAGTTGTATATCAAAGTGCTATGAAAATGATAAATAGATATGAATTATGATTGCTTTCATTTGAATATTTTCATAGACCCACCTGAAACCATTTGTCATTAAGTCCTTCAGAGGCAAGGAAACTGTAGACTTTGTTTTCCCAACTTAGAACCTTCTGGATCCTATCAACTCTTCATCAGTCTTCTTCCCTAGAAACTTTTCACTCTAAACACTCCTCTTTCCTCCCAAACATTATTTTTCCTTTTTCTTAGTCAACTCTTTCATCTTCTACCCTGAAATTTAACCTATAGTGTTTTCTCCCCCACCCCAAAATGCAAAGTCAAACAAAAATAGCAAAGCAAGCAATGTGTAAAAATATGTAGCTCCCATTCCACAGCAGTCATTACATTTACTGAAAAATTCAGTTCCAAATTTTGTTCTATATAAACACCATCTTTCACTTAAAAGCTAAAAACCCAAGGACCAGTCTGATTTTATCCTGCCTCAGTTTTCTGTAGTACATAATATATCAGTCTATAAACATGCCTTATCATAAAAAGCAGCGTTGGACTTGTCAACTGCAATATCTAAAAACTTACCTCCAAAATCTTATCAAGGGAGATTATAGCAGCAATATAATCCGAGTTTTTAAAAGCATCAAGGGCTTGTGAACGCAAACGCTGCATTTCATCAGATTTTATAAGTTGGGATTGGGCTTCCTTTTCTTCATTTTCACTTGGATTAGATTTGAGCTATGAGAATAATAAATTAAATTAAAATGGATTTTCAATCTCTTAAATCTAATACCTATAGTATACACAATTATCTAAGCATTCCAAATACTTAAGTTCATTGGGGGAAAAGGGTACAGACATGGGCAAAATTGGCTTGTCCATTGACTTGCTCCTGGCACTGACCACCATGGGAAGCAATAGTAAAGACTCCTTCCCCCGGTATGGTGCACAGAAGCAAGCAGTAGAGCGAGGGTCAAAAGACCTGGATCCCCAACACTTACAAGGAAGCAAATATATTTAGAATGTCAAAAGGTACAGAAAAATTAATAATGAAAGCACCATTCTCACTTTATGTATAACTCTAGAGAAAATAACTTTGAGTTTTATGTACTTTGCCTTCTAGTTATACTTCCTAAGTATTTTTAAGTATAAATTAATTTTACCAAAATAATGAAAAACACAGGAAACTGAGAGAGAGGGCTTTTTATTTTTAGAGATTATAAGACAGAAAAGGAGTTGATGCCACAGGGGCTAAGGTATAATAACAGAGGAAGAATTTACAGGGAAAAATAAGAGACTAATACCTTATTTAAAAGGCTTAGTCCTGGCCAGTTTGGCTCAGCAGTTAAGAGCGTCGGCCTGCGGTCCATAGAGACCCAGATTTGGTTCCCGCTAAGGGCATGTACATCGGTTGCAGTTTGTCCCCGGCTCTGGTTGGGTTGTGCCGGTGGCAGCCACTTGATGTATCTCTTTCACGTTGATGTTTCTCTCTCTCTCTCTTTCCCTCCCGCTCTATCTGAATAAAAAATGGAAAATTGTCCTCGGGTGAGGATAAAAAATAAAAATTTAAAAAAAGGCTTATGATATGGTTTTAAGAGGTATACACCTTGTCTCTCCTTTTCTTAAAAAATATTTGTATTGATTTTTAGAGGAAGAGGGAGAGAGAGAAACATGGATGTGAGAGCGGAACATACAAGAGCTGCCTCCTGCATGCCCCAGGCATGTGCCCCAACCAGGCATTGAACTGGTGACCTTTTGGTGCACAGGACAACGTTCAAACAATGTAGCCACACTGGCCAGGGTACAATTCTATGATTTTAAATAAATTTACCATGTATGCAACCATCACCGCAGTTTTAGACCATTTATTTCACCCCAATAAGATCATTTGTGTCTGCTTACAGTTAATCCCATTCCCAGCCTAGTCTCCTACACAGTGACTATTAACAATTTCTTCCTCCAGATGGAAAATCTTAAGCTTAATAGCTCAGAAAAATTGGGTGCTTACATTAAAAAGCTACTAACTTTTTTCTTTGAGATTATATTTTATATGTAGTAATTCCTGAAATCTAATATTCTTATTAAGATGGAAACTGTAGTTGCTGGGTTCCAAATTTGGGCATGGTGCAGACAACAGATTATTTCTAGAAATGTCTCTCCTTCAATTGACCAATCATACTGCTTCCCCTTTTGGTGAATTTTAAAAAACAAAATACCTCCACTGGCACCTAGTAGGAGACAACACTCCAAATGAGAAACCTTAAGATTATCAGTTGGTAGAGGCTCCATATTTCTCCTTTTTTTTTTTTTTTTTTTTAGGATACTTTCGGTATTCTGTTTTGTCTGTATGATCCCTGGCTTTTAAAGGAACAGACAGGATTCCAAGTAGTCATTAGTAACTACAAAAAAACTGGTCACCTCAGTTTGCTCTGGAGGTGGACTGTCACCGCATGACTGAATTATCCAGCTGAAGGAGCTATATTTGAGTCATGGAATGCTTGTCTAGGACTTTTATCATCCTTGGGGTGATCTTGAATACTTCTGATAGATCACATTGGAAAGAGTATAAATATGTGTGCTGTCTCTTTGCTTTCGGTAAAAGTAGTAGTTTACTGATAACTTGTTTTCTATTATGTACACTACTGCTCCCTTTTGGATAGAATATACTGGGATGTATGAGACTGCCTCTTCTGGATGGAATATGCATCTTTTCTCTCCTAAACTTCACAGTAGTCTCTTCAACACAGATTCCTTGTTAGAAGGTGAGGGAGGGGAAAGCCCCACATTTCAGGGTTGAGGATACAGGGCTCAGCCTCACTCCGTGCTCAGACCATGGGGATAAGAAAGAATGAGTGAGCTCAGATAATCTGGGCCTCTGGGACTGGGAAGGAGCTGGAACAGGGGTGGGGGATTATTCTAAGGAGGTAAGAAAGGAATTTGAGAAGCAAACTACGGGCTTGCTTACAACCCTGGAGAGTTTCAAAGAGGGTTGGGTGAGAGGAAGATTTTCACTCTTACTACAAAGTTGTTGACTCCTTCCAGTTGTCCTTTTATGCCAGGGCATGTATGTATGCATGTATGCATGTATTTATTTATTATTATCCTCACCTGAGGACATTTTTACATTTTTGTTCAGATAGAGTGGGAGGGAGAGAAAGGAAGAGCGCGAGAGAGAAACATTGACGTGAAAGGGACACATCGAGTGGTTGGCTGCATTCCACACGACCCCAACCAGGACTGGGGATGAATCACAACCAAGGTATGTGCCCTTGACTGGAATCAAACCCACGACTCATTGGTCCATGGGCCAATCCTCCAACTGCTAAGCCTAACTGGCCAGGGCTATGCCAGGATATTTATATGTAGAGCTTGGACCCTACTGGTATTTCCCTCAGTCTTTTTTTCATGTTCCCTGATATCCCTTCTCTTTACTGTTTTCCATTTCTGACCCTTTCAGCCAAGCCTCTGCCAAGCCTCTAACTATGGTAATATTTTATTTCTTATTTCTTACCATTTGCTGTGGTCACTGAGCTTTCAGACCATAGCTATGGCATGGGGGCTGATTAAAAGATGTAAGTTGTTCTCGCTAATCTAAATAAATCCCCATTTTTTTTATTTATTTATTTTGCTGCAAGCCTCTGTGTTTTTGTTTGTTTTTTTACTTTTTGTTACAGATGTTTCTCCTTTTTTACCCCATTGGCACCCCCTTCTCCATCCCCCCCCCGCCCCGTCCCTGGCTTTGTTGTCCATGTCCATTGGTCATGCATACATGCATGTAAGTTCTGTGGTTTATCTCTTCCCACCCCGCCCCCCTCTTCTGAGGAATGTCAGTCTGTGCCCTACTTCCATGTTTCTGGGTCTACCATATTCCTCAGACTTTTATGTTCATTATATTCCGTATATAAGTGAGATCATGTGATATTTGTCTTTTTCTGCTTGGCTTATTTCACTTAAGATAATACTTTCCAGGTCCCTCCATGTCATTTCAAAGGATAAGAGATGTTTCTTTCTTACAGCTGCGTAGTATTCCATTGTGTATATGTACCACTGCTTTTTTATCCATTCGTCTACTGATGGACACTTGGGCTGTTTCCAGATCTTAGCTATTGTAAATAGTGCTGCTATGAAAATGGGGGTACATATATTCTTCCTGATTGGTGTTTCAGGCAGATTCTTAGGGTATATTCCTAGAAGCGGGATCACTGGGTCAAATGGAAGTTCAATTTTTCATTTTTTGAGGTAACACCATATTGTTTTCCATAGTGGCTGCACCAGTCTGCATTCCCACCAGCAGTTTATTAAAGTCCCCTTTTCTCCACACCCTCACCAACACTTGTTGCTTAATGATTTGTTGATGGCGGCCATTCTGACAGGTGTGAGGTGATACCTTGTTTTAATTTGCATCTCTCTGATAATTAGTGATGTTGAGCATTTCTTCATATGTCTCTTGGCCATTTGTATGTCCTGTTTGGAGAGGTGTCTATTCAGCTCCTCTGCCCATTTTTTAATTGGGTTATTTGTCTTCCTTTTGTTGAGTTGTATGAGCACTCTATATATATTGGAAATTAACCCCTTATCTGATATATCATTGGCAATGATGTTCTCCCATACAGTGGGTTGCCTTTCCATTTTGATGGTGTGGCTCATTTGGCTGGGCATCTTCTTGTGCAATAATCCCCATTTCTGAGACCTCAAATGAAAACAGTGGATTGGTAGTTGTGGTGGGAAGACTTCCAAGTGACCCCACCTCCTGGAATTAATGCCTTTATTGTGATCCCCTCCCCTAGATTATGGGATGAAGCTGTAACTTGTTTTAACAAACAGAATATAACAAAGGTGATGGGATGTCATTTCCTTAATTAGGTACAAAGCACTGTGACTTCACCTTGCTAGAACTCTCTCTCTCCCTCTCTCTCACTCTCTTACCTCTTGCCTTCTCATTTGTTCACTCAAATGAATCAATCTGCCATGCTGTGAGATGCTTTATGGAGAGGCCCACATAGGAAAGAACCAAGGGAAGCCTCTGGCCAACAACTCAAGAGGAACTCAATCCTACCAAAAACTAAGTGAGTTTGGAAGCAGTTCCTTCACCAACCAAGCAGCCCTATCTCACACCTTTACTATAGCCTGTGAGAGACCCTGCCTGGAGCAGAGAATCTAGTGAAGCCTGCCGAGATTCCTGACTCCATGAGCTGTAAGATCATAAATGCATGTTGCTTTAAGCTACTAACTGGGCAATTTGGTACACAGCAATAGGTAACTAATACAACAGTTTTACCATTTCTCAATGGCCAAGTTGTAAATATTTTCAAACAGATTTTGTATTATTAATGTTTTAAAATAAAGTCTAAATGGAAAAAAACAAAAAACAACTAAGTCCAAATCCTGACTTTAACACTTATTGTCTCTATGTTATCTGCATTTTCTTCACCGATAAAAGGGGGGATAATAATACCTATACCCTGCAGAGTAATCATTGAGAAAGTAACAAGATACTTTATGTAAGACACAGCAAATACTGCAAAAAAAATAATAAAAATCCAAACTCCTTTTGGGAACTTTCTATAATATATAAATTCATATATAACCTGTAGCAGTGATTCTCAAGAGTGTGATTAAGGGACCTCTGGGAGTCCTTAATAATTTTTCAGGGGTCTGTAGGGACAAAAGCAAATATGGATAAAAGATAAAGAATCCATTCAAAGTGGAAGATAAACCAATGATTTCATTATAACAAA